GTTGAACGTTTTATCTGAAGAACTGGAACCGTTGGGTTTGGGAGCTGCAGATCCAGCTGACTTGTTAACAAGGATTCGTTTGGCTCAAGAGGAGGATGAGAATCTGAATAAGTTGTCACCTAGTGACAAGACCGAATATCAGACTTCCAACAATGGGACGATTGTTGTGAATGGCAGAGTGTGTGTTCCTGGCGTGAAAGAGTTAAGGGAGGAAATTCTAAGGGAAGCACATCAGTCGAGGTTTTCTGTGCATCCGGGAATAACCAAGATGTACCAGGATCTAAAAAGGTACTATCATTGGGTTGGGATGAAGCGGGACGTAGCCAAGTGGGTGGCTAGCTGTCCGACATGCCAGCTGGTTAAGGCTGAGAATCAGGTTCCAAGTGGGTTGTTGCAAACATTACCAATACCAGAATGGAAATGGGATATGTTCACAATGGATTTTGTGTTGGGTTTACCGAGGTCTCTGAAGAAGCATGACGTGATTTGGGTCATTGTTCATAGGCTGACCAAGTCTGCTCACTTCTTGCCTATGAGGAAAACGGATGGAGTGGCTAGGCTGGTGGAGTTGTATGTCGATGAGCTCGTCAAGCTTCATGGAGTGCCTGCGAGCATTATGTCAGATCGTGACCCAAAGTTTACTTCACGATTCTGGAAAGAGATTCAGAAAGAGTTTGGGACGAAGGTGCATATGAGTACCGCATATCATCCGCAAACGGATGGTCAGTCTGAGAGGACCATGACGACGTTAGAGGACATGCTGAGAGCGTGTGTACTGGACTGGGGTGGTAACTGGGAAAGTTATCTACCGTTGGCTGAGTTTGTGTATAACAACAGTTACCATAGGAGCATTGAGATGTCTCCGTATGAGGCGTTGTACGGAAGGCCATGTAGAACATCGCTATGTTGGACCCAAGTGGGGGAGCGGAGTGAGTTAGGATCTGCTATAGTCCAAGAGACTACTGAAAAGATCAGGTTTCTGAAGGTTAAGCTGAAAGAGGCTCAAGACCGACAAAAGAGTTATGCTGATAAGCGCCATAAGGACTTAGAGTTCAGTGTGGGCGATCCGGTTTATCTGAAGGCTATGACTTACAAGGGGAAAAGCCGAGCAACGTTTGATGCTAAGTTGAATCCGAGGTACATGGGACTGTACCGGATTCTGGAAAGGATTAGACCAGTGGTGTATAAGTTGGACTTACTGCCGGAAATGAGTGCTTACCACAATGTGTTTCACGTGTTGCAGCTGAGAAAGCACATAACCGAACGTAAGACTGTGATATCTGAACCACCTTCGGAATTGCAAGAGAATCTGACCGTGGAAGGTAGACCGATCCGAGTGGTTGACAGGAAAGAAAAGCTTAGGCGTGGTAAGAGGGTTAAGATGATCCAAGTTGTCTGGGACTGTAATGGGGATGAGCAAACTACTTGGGAAGTAGAGTCCAAGATGAGTACAAGGTTCCCGAAATGGTTTGAGAAACTTCAGGAAGAAGAACCGGATTCGAGGGCGAATCCAAACCAAATGGGGGAGAGTTGTAGCATCCGTATCCGAGAAAATCTGGAATGATCGAGCCGGACAGGAGGTTGTCCGAAGGAATGTGAGTTCAGTCAAGGGAAAATCATTATGGATGGGAGGTTTAGACTATAGTCGATGGATGACTGGGAAATAGTCGAAGGATGACCGGGCTGGCCGAGCAGGACGGACCATATCCAGGAGAAAAATGGTTCTGTCTGGGAGAAAGTGGATTATGTCCAGGAGAAAGTGGATTATGTCCGAGAGAAATGGATTATGTCCGAGAGGAAATGGATTATGTCCGAGGGAAAAAGGAAATAGCCGAGGCTTTGTGGTTTTAGCCGAGTAAAAATGGGCTGGGCCCGTGGGCTGGGAGTTTGGTCGGATAAAAACTAATTTCTCGTGGGGATGGTCGAGCGGTTTAGGCGATATCCGAGAGAAATCAAAGCTGACTGGGATAAACTTGACTGGAACCGGGAGACGCCGGCTATAACCGGGTTAACTAGGTTTTACGAGCATATAAAAGTGATTTTGAGACTTTTTCTCGAGACAGCCGCATTATTTGAGAAAAATATCGCGTGACAGAGAGATTGGTCGAGAGAAATCCCATAGTTTCTGATTATCCCGAGAGTTGGCCTAGAGAGATCGAGGTTTCGCCGGCGATTTCGACTATCACTGAGAGATCGACTGTTCTGTCCGAGTTTCTGTGGATCTGTTTCGACCATTCGTCTTGATTTGAGGATTTGCCGAGGGAATAACCGAGTTTGTCCGAGGATTTCTGAGCGGATCATGTGATATCCGAGAGCACTTCGATTCATCTGAGTGAATCTTGTAAGTGTTCGGCTATTCTGATTTCTGTTGAGTTTCTGTCGAGTAACTTTGGACTGATCGATCTGAATTATACTGTTTCCGAGGGAATACAGCTTCTTGCCCGAGAAAAAGTGACCGGGTTGAGAGATAGCCGAGAGGTGTGGAGTTTTAGCCGGACCAGTCTGAGCGATAGCTGAGAAATCGCAAGTGTGTCCGAGTATCTCAGTTCTGATCGAGAAATCACCGAGATTCTTTCGACTGAAACGTTTTTTTCTGTGTCTAAGGTGAGTGTGTGACTGTAGTCTGTATCTAGAATCGTTGGATTGCTAGGTTATCTGATTTTCATTGATTGCTTGTGTAAGTTAGTGGTTTCTGCTTAGCAAGGTCAATGTTTCTGTGATTGTGAATGGTTAAGTGTGAACCGTGGTCAATACGTGATGTCTAACTAGCTGTGTGAATGTCCGGATAGAGTTACTAGCTCAAGGGGATGTGTGATTCTCGCTTGGAGCAGTACCGATGCCTTGTGAGGCTTCACAAGTAGTTGAGATGATCATAGGACCGTACTGTTTTCTGTGCTTGCTTGCTAGGTGATAATGTGAATTGTATAACTGATAGTATGATGCGTTTTCTGATACTGGCTAAGGTGTTGCGGGATGACTGTATTCACTAAGTATTTATCAAATACTTATGCCTCTCTGTTTGAGTGTGCAGGTGGGAAACTGCATGATCCCTACAGATTTTGTGGTTCTAGCTTTCTCTGATTTTGCTTGATAGAATCCTATTGCCATCTATCTTAACCCCTTTGGATTGATAAAAACCATATGCTATACTACAACTGATTAGTATAAAGGGTGATTGAGAAAGAGACTCAAAACTCTTGTATCATTTTTGCAGCTTTCTCAAGCTAGAGAATGGATGCTAGAGGCGGCTTCTCTAGTAGGTCCAGAAGACTCCTATGCTGCCGGATAATGGTTAGGTGGGTTGAAGCGTTTTCGTTTTTGTGTTTGTCTTTGGAGATGCTATATGTGCTGTTTTTTTCAAGGTGTTGAGGGCTTGCCTTGTATACGGTTCGCAACAACAATGAAGACTCACAAATTTCCGATATAGGCTTTCAAAATCGATGTTTGTAATTTCTACTAGCTGCTATCAGGGATTTTGGTCTTTTTGCTTTTCTTAATTATCTCTATATTTTGTCTCAACTCTAAAATGGTACTATAAAATTTTACATTTTACCAAAAATAAAAAAAAATGTCCGACGGTGTAGGTGACGCAAAAAAATACAGCGACACACATTCTCTCATCTCTCTTTACTCCTGCGGGAAATCTCCCTCTCTTTCGACAGATAATCAACGACTCCGTTCCTCTTTCTTCATTTTTTCCCTTGAAATTTTGTGTCGTCGATTGTTGTCGCAGCATTTGTCAAAAGAACATGATCTTTTTTCGAATGTGTCTTCACTTCTCCTATGTATGCTTTTTAGTTGGCCCTATTTTTTAGTTCGGAATTTAAATGCAAACAGATATATATTCTTTTAAATATGCCTATTATGCCGAAGTGTTAGCAGAAATTCATGTTGAAAAGTCTTTCCAAGATCAACATCAGCAATATCCTTGAATAATTAAAAATTAAGATTCAGAAAAGATAATTAGTAGTAATTTAAAATAATAAACCAGTATGAAAAAAAATTTCGTTTGATTGAAAAATACAGGCATATATATTTGTTTATTTATTAAATATTAAGAATGAAAGATAATATAATACTGAAAAATATTATTCAAGGATATTTCTCTGATTTCATTCTATATTTTATTCAAATGTCATTATATTATAACTATACTTTGAAACTTTTTAAGAAAATAATTTGGAGTGATGACATATCTGAACATAATGAACTTTTCTGAAGAAATAGAACAATTGAGGTTAAGCTAGATGGCAAAATATATGAACAATGAAAGAGTGCATTCATAATAACAAACTGAAAAGAAATATTTTTCTGTTGTTGTCAAAATATATATTACATTAAAAAAAAACATGTAGAGAAACAATAATTAACACATCCCTAGCTTAATATATATATACATGATGCATTATCGTTCTTTTTCATATAATTGGTTTAATACACAATTATATTTACAAGAAATGAAGAAAGTGTCATTTTATAGTTACTGCATTCTGTGTCTAATGGTTAGGATGTCAACGTATGGCTTTGCCACAGAAAATTACTATCAACGAAAAGATGGAATTTCTGGCCCGCTAGCTGAAACCATAACTGTTGATTGTAACGATGCTGCCGGGATGTACAAAACTGTTCAACGTGCAATTGATTCAATCCCTCCTAATAACCAAAGATGGATTCATATATTCATAAAAAGCGGTATTTACAAGTAATATAATTTTTTAATAACTAAATATGTTTTATTTATTACCCACACGTTTTTTTTGGTTTTTGAAAATATGGGTTTTTAATATCTTACAAATAAAATATTTCACGAAATTGAGATTATAAATTTGGTTAGAAACTAAAATATGATTTATTAATACATAAAAAGTTTTTTTCTTTTTTTTAGATTTTAATAAATACATAAAAAGTTTGAGACGAATAAATGAACTTTACAATAGTTTTGGAAAAACAAATTGGCATCCATCCTTTCTAAGCTTCAATTGTTTAATCATCATAAAATAATGTTGTGATTATATAAATGATCAATTATAACATGTAGAGAGGAAGTGACCATACCAAAAAATAAGGGATACATATATCTGCAAGGCGAAGGAATTCAAAAGACAATTATAGCATACGACAGTCATCAAGCCACCGACACTAGTGCCACTTTCACAGCTTTCTCCGATTACATCGTTATCTCCGGCGTTACTTTCAAAGTATATATATATATATACTATATATTTTTAATCTGCCTATATTTTGATTAGTTGTTAGTAGATATTTTATATACATGAAAATGGGCTTTATCGATTATTATTATTATGCGCGCAGAATACATATAATGTGCCACTAGTGACTCCTTTAGCAAATCCAATTATACCAGCCGTAGCTGCGAGGATGCTTGGAGACAAATATTTAATCATTGATTCTAGTTTTGATGGATTTCAAGATACATTGTTTGACGCTCTAGGAAGACATTACTACAAACGATGCGTCATTTCTGGTGGCGTCGATTTCATTTTTGGTTACGCACAATCTCTTTTTGAGGTATATTATATATAATCCATTGTCAGCAATATTTTTTTTGTTTTTTGATTTTGAAAAGTAACGTTAGTTTTTCTAAAGAGTTACGTCATAAGGCTAAAATCCGTTAATCCAACTTTTTTATATATTGGCCATGTAAACACTTAAAAGAAAATAAAAATAAAGCAGAATCATATATATATATGTATATATATATTTGTATATATGTATTTATTATTATGAACTAGTGAACTACGTACATACATGTTAACAAAGTAAAGAATGGTGAATATATATGTTACTATAAAAAAGGAATGTACGTTGAATCTGACGGTTGGGACCTATGCGCCGGAGAACCCGTACGGTGTGATAACTGCGCAGGGAAGGAAGTCACCGACAGATAACGGAGGGTTTGTTTTTAAAGACTGCACAGTCTCTTCTGCCGTTAAAGGCAAAGCTTTGTTGGGACGAGCTTGGGAACCATACGCACGTGTCATATTTTACCGTTCAAATTTATCTGATGTTATTTTGCCAATTGGTTGGGATGCTTGGAGAGCAAAAGGCCAAGAGTAAGTAATCTCTTAACCTTTTTTATTTCTTACTTCCATCATTTTAGCATATTGCATTTAAAAGTCATATTCAGATTAACTGTATAATAAAACAGAAGGTGACAAATATTGTATTAGGGGCAATACAATGTTTGCGGAGTATGGTTGCACTGGAGCTGGAGCGGACACATCAGGCAGAGTTGCATGGATGAAAAAGTCGAGTGAAAAGGAAGTTCTTAACTTTTCTAATGTTTCTTTTATTGACCAAGATGGCTGGCTTAATAGTCTTCCTATCAAAGTTTAGAAGTGTTAACTAAAAGCTTTAGTTCAAAAAACTGAAAAAAAAATGTTTTTATTGTTTTCGGTTGTAAAAATATTGTTTTCTTGTTCTAACAACCTAAATAGAAATCAAACCAAATAAAAAAGTTAAGCAATCACTAACAATTTTTATAAGGACTAATTCAAACCAAGCAAAAACAGAGCAAGCATTAATCTATGATACTCAAACAGTCATAACAATGCTGTCTTAAACAAGACTAATTCATTCTCATGACACTAAATACTTTGTTAATTACCTATTCAAAAACTAATTTCTATTACTAAAGAAAATAATCTACAAGCATTTTTTTTTTTATTGGGTCAAACACTATGTATATTATACTTGAACTTTGGTTACAATAGCAGCAAATAGATGACAATTTACCAAAGAGTAATGACTACTTTTTACTGGAATGAAATACAATAGATTAAAAAGATAGGTTCAACAGCTTATATCATAGATGAAAACTGTAAGATTCTTCAAAAGGACCTTTGAGATGATCGTTCGAAAAAACGAACTGAAGTTCTTCTTACATTAAAGGCGAGGTAACAACATTAATAGTTTAAAATGCCGTCATGACTGAGCGTTTAAATATGTTCTCCTTGAAGGAGAAGGGGGCCAATTCGAAGATACACCGTTAATACTTAAGAACAGCATCTGGAGATTCGAAGATACGCCAATGATTAAAGATGGATATTTATAATCTCAAAAGATAAATTGGGTCAGGCCACAAAAAGAGCTCCAAGGGAGGGGTTACTGAAACGAGGTGGATGGTCGGAGTGGAGATGAAGGGTTCAATGGAGCAGTGGCGTGTGGCTGGCGACTCTCTGACGGAAGCTCCTCTGGTATGGGAAGAGAGACTCGACACCGAAGACATGTTAATTGGAACATTGGAATGGGCAGAGAATTTTCGGAGCTTTTTAGAAAGTGTTATATGACCTGCAGGTTGAGAAGTTTGGATCTTAAAGACTCCAACAAAGGTGTTTAGGAGGAGGAAAAGGAGTGGAGAGAGATGTGAGAATATCAGAATAGAGGCAAGGTGTGGATGCAGATATCCACACTCAAAGATTTGTAAAATATTTAGGTTAATTTAGGGAGATGATGGGTAAGAATCTTTATTTGAGCAACTGAACTTAAGATTAAGAAAAGATAAATGGACTTTTTATTGATGAAATCGAGAGATCATTTATAAGAGATCGATGTATCGCAATACAAGAGCTCGTAGCGCGTATAACTGCTTAGTAAGTAAAAGATGATTAGGTAAAAAGATGTAAAAATACAGGAGCTGGAAGGGCGTACATATAGTAAATTAGGTAAAAACTGAAAGCCCGTTCTTTCTGCCCCTCCTGTTCCTTTTATAGCCTTCTTTTAACTCCAACTGCTGCGCGAATCTCGGAGATTAGTTGTAACAAGCTTCGAGTATCTCGGATGTTGTTGCTGGATCGAGCTCCAGATATGACGGGACCTCGCCTGGTCTTGCTCGACTTAGTTTTGAAGAGTATCCTTAATTGGCAGGAGCTCGTCCGTTGTTGAAGATACAAATGGGACATATATCTGATGGGTCATTGCAGATGGGCTTCATGTGACTGCTTAATGAGATTTAAAATGGACCGGATTTCATGCTAAATCCTGCTCCAACAGTTGTCCCCTAGCCCGTTAAGCGAGGTACGAGCTTAATGGGCGGAAGACAAAGTTTTAAATATCATGACTTTCTTTAACTTAAAAATTTTAGATCTTAAAAAGATTTTCTTTTGATCATAACAAACCATTGAGTCACAAATGTGAAACTTTGATTAAGTTTGAGTGAAGATTCTGCTTGAATGTGAGCTAAAGCTCAATCATAAACGCTTTGAATTTCACGTGAGTACGAACCCGAACTTGGGTTGAGCAGAGATGAAAAAATCTTTAAGTGCGAGCTAGAGCTAGAACTTAATTGTTCAAATTTTGCGTAAGTACAAACGCGCATTCGATCTTGGAGTTGACAAGAGTCTGTTTGGTTACGAGCCTGAGCTCGAACCGAGTACCTTGAATGAAGGCTGTAGGCCTAGATTCCAGCTCTATATAGTATATAAAGCTTGAATTGATGAACTTTATTCTTTCTATATATCAAATAATACATAGAGATTTTAAGGAAAAGTAAAAATCGTGACTGAACTTGTGTTGAGCTGCCTACGTACCCATCAAGGGATCAAGTCTAAACGTATTTCGATTATAAGTATTTCGAAGGAGATGCGTTTGTAGGAAAACAATAAGCTCATCGAGCTGTTTATTTGCTAAACTCTGCGTGATCTGTTAGATCGAATTTCTGTTTAACAAATGGCTCTGTTTTTTTTTCTAAATACATGACTGTATTAGATCAAGTGTATTGTGTTATCTTTGCTAGCTATCGAGAGATATGATCGGATTAGATAAGAACTTCGATTGCTGATTATCAAACGAATTGAAGCTGATTAAGTAAAATAAAGAAATTTTATGTGCCTCTTTTTCTTGTTTGGGCGGTTTGTTATTTTAAGTTTGAACAAGAGTTCGTTCACTTAGAACTAAACATGAGCTCACCTTTTATGTTTGAACGGGAGTTTGTTCACATGGAATCAAACACGAGTTCATCATTTTGCATTTAAATGAGAGTTCATTTACTTGAAATCGAACATGAGTTGCCCTTAATGTTTGAACGGGACTTCGTTCACTTCAAATCGAACATGAGTTCATCTTTTACTGTTTTGTTTGGTCGCGAGTATTTTCAGTTTACGGCGTGCTTTGGTAGTTGTTGACTGGAAAGGTTCTTTCTTTGCTTTAATTGAACTCAGATTTTAGCGACTTGATGCGTCATGCATCTTTTGCTTATCCTGCTTCTTATTGCTTTATTTGTTTTCGTGACACAAAATATGGATTTTGGTCGAGCTTTTAGATTAACTTTGAATTGGAGATTAATCCTATCTTTCTGATAACCCACGAAGGCGACTGTAAGATTTTGGTGCGTTGGTTTGTCACTTGCGGGCAGATGCTCGCGCACATTTGCAACTAACGCTCGGATCAATTTTGACAGGCTTATGCTTGGGATATCTGAACTTGATCTTGTCGATTCGTCGTTATCGAATGGGTGCTCGCGATTTTAAAGTAAACGCTTTGGACGATTTTGCGGGCTTCTGTTCAAGGCACCTGGATATTGTGTTGTCTCCTTGTTGATTGCAGTTCCTAGTGATCCGGTCGAGCTCGCGTTGGGTTCTGATTCTGTGCTTTCTTTTGATTGTGGACAGGAGTCCGGCATTGTTCGTGGTGCTTAAATGCGAGCGAGAGCTCGATACGTTGCCTGACTCGAGTTTGTTTGGGCGTTTGTGTTTAATTTGAGCGAGGTACTTGTACGAACGACTGTTTAGTTGAGAGGCGTGTGAGATGAGCTCGTGAGTGTTTTGTTTGGCCAGACGTTATTTAGTGGATCGATTGTAGATCCAGAGTACTCGTTTGCGTCTTAGTTTGACACATATCGTTTTAAGAGATCATGAGAGAAACTCGATAAGAGTTTGAGCCATTGAGACTGTTGGGTGAAATTCAATATGAATATCTGATGTTTCAGCTTTTCAGCTTCCCACTTTCTGAGAGGCAAGATGCCGTTTTGGAGATTGTCGAGTTCGAGATCTTCCAATTTGACCAGGCGTGAAATAATTCATCCTGATGAATAGTTTTCTGTTGTTGGCCTCCTTGTTAGTTGCTGCCCTGGTTGCAATTTGCTCTGCTATGCTCGAGTTATTTGGACTGAGTTTGCTATTGCTCGGCTATGCTTGGGTCATTCGGACTTGGTCCTGCTCCCCAGAATTCGTGAGATCGTTGGGTAACTCGTTAGTGCTGGCTGCAGGATTGCCTTTGACATATATGATTCTTTCTAACAGTGGGTCCAATGTGGAACCAAGAGATGCTAAGGCGCTAGCCGAAGTGTTCCATCCACTCGTGTATAAGTTCGTATGTCCCATGAAACTGACTGGGTACGAGCTACTAGTTGCTGCTCGCAAACGGGCTGCTATTTCTTTCGCGAGCTGTTGCCTGGCGATGAAAGCTTTGTACTTGGCTTAGGTATTGGATGCATCAAATCCAAGATGAAATGACTGTTCTAGGATCTTTCCGGTTGGTGACGTGAGTCTGATTCCTACTTCAAGTCCTAGCCTTGATGATGCTCCATCCATGTGGAGTGTTTTTTTTTCTATTTGGGGACGTGTTTTCGAGAGCTTGCAGTGCAAGCTCGATAACAGAGTATACTAAGACTTGTGCTTTTGCGCAGATCCAAGTATAATATTCAATATCATACTTGCTTAGTCTGATTGCCCTTTAGATATATCGAGTTGATTTGCGAAAGGGTTCATATTTTTCTGTAGGAATGAATCGAGCTCGGGTTCTATGGTAACACATCTTTTGGGGGTGAGCATTGTTGATGCGTGCCTGAGTGTAGCGATCTTTTTTCGGATGTCCACGCATGGTGGGGTCCTTGCTTGTCTTGATTTGTGGTTTGGCAAACTCCTGATCTTTTTGTAATCGTTATACGGTGGAGCTCGCAACTTCTCTAGAATAGCCTAGGTAGCACATCGTTGCATTTTTCTGGTTTCCGTAGATCGTTCTCATCCCTCTAGGAATTAGAAATTTTTGCATATTGATGGTACGTAGATGAGACTGCTTCCATGGCGTATATTCAAAGCCGATGAGATATTGCATTATTTGACCCTTGGTGGTTTACTACCACAAAGTTTATTTCTTTTTGGACTCGCCTAACTTTTACGAGGAGTCGGATGAAGCCACATGAGAAAATTTTTACGAGGAGTCGGATGACCGATACTGGTGGTCGATACTGCTCCGTATCGGTCATCCTTGACCGATATTCACCGTGCTCTGACCGAAAACTTCTGCAGAGATTCTCTGCTTCGATCCTCCATGCTCCCTTTTGCCCATCTAGCATCCTGGATCATCCCCAAAACTCCGCCAAGCTTCTTTTAGCTCCA